CCCCCTTCTTCGTCACGAAATCCATGACCAATGCAGTGCCTTCTTGGGCTTCTGTTCTATTCAGGATTTTGTTAGCCAATTAGTCTTATTGTGTGTTCATCATCATCATTCTCATTCTAGTGTTCCGTGTACGTACGTTTCGCTTGTAAAATTCACTTAGACATGTTTGTTCTCAGTTGCCGTCTCGTCAAATGTGTTACTTACTTACTCTCTATGCGTTAGTAAGTCGTAATATCATCATGCACAAGCACATACACACAGGCGTACGAAGGCTTGATCTCGAGTGTAGATAGTAGAATTAAGCCGCTCACCACACTAATACTTCTTCATTTATCTATGTTGTAACATTGTCCCCTCCCTCTCTACCCTTCATACTCCCTGAGCTGCAACGCCACAATCCCGACCGCCGCCGCTACGCAAACGCGCGCGCGCGTACGTGTCATTGCTATCGCATTCGGGTTTAGGTGACCAAAATCGCCGCCGTGCATTAGCTTGCATTTCTAGTATTTTTTTATTCGTTCACAAAAGTTCTATGCATTTTTTTCTTGAATTTTTTTATTCTAAAAATTCTCATCCATGCTCCACACGAGGTGCCTCGTTGAATCTTGTAAAGTACGTTTGCTCTTTGTTTTAGGAGTGTTTACATTTTGGCCTCATTTTTTCTGAGGCTTTTGTCATATTGAATCATGCTTGTCACCGTACTGTTGTTTTTTTCGTTGTATGCATTTGCTCCCCTCGAACCGTTGAGAATCGAATAAATATTTATTAAAGACATAGATGAAGCGGATAATTATATAACTACAAAAAGCGTTATAAACGTTTCCATTATCTTTTTCATCACATATACTCTGCGTCGCAGAGCGCNAACTACAAAAAGCGTTATAAACGTTTCCATTATCTTTTTCATCACATATACTCTGCGTCGCAGAGCGCAGACGTAGAGAGTACGCGCGGAATAGTGTGCATATTGAGAGAGTGCAGTTTACACGTGGCATGAAACTAGAGGTTAGAAAGCTTGACAGTACCATCACAAGTATAAACACATACGTAAATGAGCGAAAAAAAAACAAAAAAAATCAAAGCGTGTAGAAAATTCTATGACCAAGTTTCTCCTTCGAACTGTGTTTCATTGACTTATTTTTATCAGGTTTTATTGTACCACCATACAATGCTCAACAATTGCTTCGATCGACGTGTTATCGATTGTTTTCATCGATTTTTGGGTTCAGGAATGAAATTGAAAATTTCTTATGCTCATTTGATCCGCTCTCTTGTAAGCTTTAGTCTGTAATCCTTTTCTTTCTGGAAATCGTACCCCATCATTCTTCGCTTCCTCCATTACTTTTCCCTTTCCAAAATCTTACAGTTAGTTTCAATTCGCTCTTCCTGCCTGAGCACCAGCACCTCAAGCTCTCTAGATTTTCATCGACAGTTGGCCGGTTGCCACGTTCTTTTAATCAACAAAACTGTATTTGTATGGCTACGAGAGAAAGATGACTTCTCTGAGATTATCATCCGAACCAGGGAGGGGTAGTCTACTTACCATGGAACTTTGAATGGAGACCGGTCTATTTGGTAAACAGCATTCAAAACTACGGAGTATGGGTCTCCATTCAAAGTTCCATGGTGAGTAGACTAACCCCTCCCTGGTTCGAATGATAGTTGTTGATGTTACAGTAAATGTGCAGAGTCATGCTGGTGTTGTACAAAATCATATAGAAAATAAAAAATACAAAACTCATATGTCAGCCTACCGGTGACCGTTTGGTCAATAGCAAATCAATCATAGCACCCACCCTTCACCACCCACTTTGCCACCCCAACGAACCCCGCGCCCCTGCCAACTTCTCCGTTTCAATTCGTCCCATACTTCAGTTTCCCAAAAGCATTTTTTAGACTTTTATTTTGAAATTTCAGAATCTTAGCTCTCTTACTAGTTACTATTACATTTTATTTTTTTCATTTCTCTAGAATTGCTACTTCAAAACAGATGATTGAGGCATTTTTCCAATTTGTTGTTATTGAACTCGGCTAATGAATATAGTAGGTAGTACAGTAAGGTATTGAACGATCATTGCTTTACATCTAATTTTGAAGGAAACTTGGTTATAGAACTTTCTACACACTAAGAATTTAATGGATTCAAAAAAATTCAAACATAAGCGACGTCATTGTCGTAGATGGCTCTGTCCTTGTCCTTTGTGATATGATGAGCACAACGTTGCATCACTAAGACAGCCGTGGTGTTAAGTACAAGTTGTATTGAGGGAAGTAAGAAATATTCATTGAGATATGGCTTAGTGTTCAGTTGGGAAGTATTCGAGCACGGGGGGTTTGACCATTATTACCGCGCGAAAGCCGCGGCGCGCATCATTGCCAGTTGTCTC